ATTTTGGCGTCCTTATATATTAAATAGTTTTTATTATAGTGCCAAAAACTAATAGTTTAGTCTTATTAAAGTCAAATATCTTGTCAATAACTATGTATTTAAGTAAAGATTCTATCGTATATTGCTTTCATAATAAAGAAATATAATGCAAATAGAAATATTTAATACCTCATAATTAGTTTGTAGCCGTTTTGTCAAAGTAACAGATAAGGATGTGATTTTGTATTAAACAAGTTCTGCTAGTGCCTGACATTTTTATTTTATTTTGCGATGTGCTTGTTACCCAGCAAATTTTTACTACTTTTTTATTGCAGTATTTATGATAAAGTATTTGTGTGAACTTAAAAGTTTTATGTTATAAAGATAGATTGGATAACAAAATATTAAATTGCAATTTTTCAGTTTCATAAAAGTTTTCAGTTCTATTTAAAAGCAATGTTACTATGAAACAGCACTTCATGCAATCATAATTGTAATCAGATAATAATAATAATATAATATGAGTTATAAAATGTCATATTAATACCAGAATAAAAAAGTCTGAACTGATATACAATTATTTCGATTTGCCACTCGGTTTTGTGTTTTAACCATACTTTTTTTTCTTGTTATTATACTTATAATCGCTACTTCATTTATTACAATGTAAAATTTTAAAGTCAAAAAACGAAAATCTTATCAATTTTATACAGTCCAGTTTCTTCTGTGTTATTTTCTCAAAGTTTTGTTTAATTCTTTTAGAGTACAATATAATTTGAAATTCAATACATTACGTTTAAGTTAGTGAGCAGGGTTATAATATAGATTTAATGACATATTATCTTCTATATATATAAAAATGAATGGCTGTTCCTTAGTCTCGCTAAAACTCGAGAACGGCTGAACCGATTTGTCTAATTTTAATCTTGAAATACTCCTGGAAGTCCAGGGAAGGTTTAAAAGGTAAGAAAAATTGGAATAATTGCCGAGAAAGCCCTAAAAACAGCCCTTTTCTATTTCCCATACAAACGACTTTTTGACATTAGACTTGACAACTAACTAATATGTCAATCATTCTGTTCGATTGAAACAGTAGAAATTTAATAAATACCAATACCGGGTTATTGAAGACGGAATATAGTTTGCCCGGTCAGCTATACCTATATTATGTACTAATGACGAAATTAACGCGGACGAAGTCGCGGGCAAAAAACTAGTGTAAAATAAAACACTGAACACCAAATCTATTCATCTTGTATCAGACTCTTCTCATGTTCATGTTTTGTGAAAGGAAAATTAAAAAATACTTTATTTGGCTTCTATGACTTCAGAGAAATTTTACAAAAGAAAAAAGCTTTGAAGTACAAGGAGATTTAAAGGCTGCCTTTTCTTGGCTTCCGTTTATCACACTTTTCGATTTAAGAAATATTTAATAGCAGTTTATTTGATTTTTTATGAACAATATGATAATTTTAACTTAATAATGCAAATACATATAATATACACTATACAGTCAAAAAAAAACGTTAAATGTTAAATCTGAAAATCACATGTCTTTGACAGCATTTAGATTAAGATTAAGATGACTCTTCCATCTCGTCTGTCCGTAATCACGGTTGTTAAATAGTAATTGAAACTTTAGAAAAGCGTTTAGACAACAATGTACGAGTGAAAATATAAGTTTGTTATATCACTTAACATGTTATTACTACATACCTTATAGCAACAGTCATTATAAAATATAAAAAAATAAGAGTAATTTTTTTATCAATCATCATTTAAATATAAAACTTGTAAACAGTAATCCAATCATACAAAAGAAGCGATATTGTCAAATGAAAAGAATCGCATCGAAATTGGTCCTATTTAAGAGATGAGATGGGAAGAGATAAACTAACATACAGACACACAGATGAGGCACACACATATGCACGCCCACAAGCATACAAATATCGACACCAATATTGTAACACTCACTTTTTGTAAGGAATACAAGTTAAGGTATATAAGAGTTAAGGAAATTAAAAATTCAATAAAAGAACAAAATGGTGAGCGAACTTTAACCTCTGTGCAGGAGTTCGGGAGAGTGTGAATGACACATAATCAGAACGGAGTTTGATTTTACTAGGAGCAAAATATTTTGCTTTTATTGAAAAATGTGAACAATTTAAGATATTAACCTCACTTTACAAGCACTGAAAAACTTGCACTAAAAATAATTTTTTTTAATTACTGACGTCTTGTATATTAGCATAATTTATTAGAATAATGAGAACAATCTTAAGTTAAAACGACAATTACTATTAGGAATTCTAGTAGAGCATTAATAAAAAAAGATTAGAAGAATCATAATACCTTCAAATAAATCCTGTTTTTTACTCAGCTTAACAAAACAATTTCATCAAATGGTACGTTGCTATTTTTATATATTTACGTTCATTGATATAGGATATTGTATTATCGATTTTGTATATATCACGAACATACAAACAAAATTATATAGAACATAGTATTATTTCACTACACACGTCTCTAGTCCGTACTTTAAGCTATAAAAATTAATAATTATCGTCTCTTTAAATTTACTTTGGTCCTGGACTGGCAAATTCTAAGTAATTTCAGTTGACCCAAAATTACAATTTTTCACCGGACCAAGAAATTCTTTTATTAACGTATCTCCAAGCTCATGCGACTGTTTTTAAATTACACGACTTAATTAAAGATCTCAGATTCATTATACGACCCTCTGTACTCGTAAAACCGGGAATTACTTTGACCACAACTTTCACCTACGAATGGCCACAGTTGATATATATTATTTAAATGTTTAACAATTTGTACAACGTTATTTACAGTATTTAATAAAATAAAGAAAGACTTCTTTCTATATGTAATATATATATATATATTTTTAATATTTTGATAAAATAATAAACACTAATATTTTTATCTTTCACAAGGCTTGCTAGAAATAACGAACGTGACCCTTTGTCGTTTTTGTTTCACATTAAAAATTAAAGTGAAAAGAAGAATTTATTATTACCAATGTTTGGCTTATTGTAAACGTTATATAATGAGATCTAAGATTTTCGTGAGTACTCATTTAAATTAAACTAATAACACATACACATCTCGTCTGCCCGTAATCACGGTTGCTGTAAAGTAGCCAAACCATCGGGAGTTTGTAGTTAATAGTCAAAAAAAAAACGAGTAGTAAATCCGAAAATATTAGTTTCATTTAAACGTTATAAAAGATTAGTAAACCAAAAATATACTACATAATTGTTAGATTTGACTTACAATGCAGATATTGGATATTAAAATCTCCTTGACAAATTAAACTTTATTCAGATGTTGTTAAATAGTTTCAGATACGGTTCGCGTAAACTTAATCGTGTATCAAATTTGAGAAATACATATATACATATTATATGTAAAAGAAAACTTAAAAATACAAAACAATAGTACATTGTTTAACAAGGAAAGAAAAAAGGTTTTGAACAGAATTTTACTTCTTTATATTTGTTTTTAATTTACTCCACGTTGAAGGAGGATGTAAGTTTATAAACCTGATAGAAATTTGTTCTTTAAGTATCGACTTCCTAATTAAGTACAACAGAATCTATTTAAATATGAACATACATCTTTATAGTCTCCACATATTTCACTAACTCGTTCGTACATCAGGCTAACATGCTCTCATAATCATTCAGGTTTATTACATTAAAATACTATGACATTTATTACTCACTAGTTAATTCTTCTTTCAAATTACAAGTTGCTTAGTATTCTTTATATTTGTTTATACTTTATAAATCAACTGTATTTTTCGTTTTGATATTTAATACTCTTATAATTGGTGTAATTTTTCTATCCCGATAGAATTGTTGAGAGGTTATTGCCAAACTCTTAAATAGATTGAAAAGCTCCTCTCTGAGGCCTCGGCCTCGAATCTCGCGGGTAGCGGGGCGGCAGCGGGAGCGGCAAGATCATACGCGTATAATCAAATGGACCGACCCTCGAATACAGCGGCGCAGGAGCAGGGCGGGTGCGGGCAACGAGCGGTGCACGGGTGCACTCCAGTGAAGCGGTGACCGCCCTCGTTGCGCGTCTGCATTGTAGTGTTGTAATTTTTTTTTGTGACGTATCAAAATGTATTCGGACGTGCAAGAGCAAATTATTTCGGCAATCTTTGAGAGGACACCCTTATGGAACAGCAAAGATGTGAACCATAAAAATAGAAGATGAATTAACCAATTATGGGAAGAAATAAAAAACGAACTGAATATTGAAGGTAAATATAATAATGATTTATTATGTCAAATACAATATTTATTATCTTTTACAAATTAATTAGTAACTAATGCGATTATTTACAAAATATTCTTTGAATTTTTCACGTGTAAGCAATTTGTAATTGTAAACAAAAGAACAAATTTCTTAGAAAGTTCGGTATGACTGTCGAGTTTATTGCGGGTTAGGATAACAAAGCGACAAAAGAGCGTACACAGCTGCGCAGTTTTTACTAATTTTAGCCACTTAAAAGGTATTTTTTATTACTTAATTGTTGTCGTTATATAGAGTTTACACTGATTTACTAAATTAGTGCAACACAATTTCTAAAAGATATACATAGATCTAAATCGTTTTGAATTAATTCCAGACTCTAAATCACTCTTGATAGTTTCAAGAATATAGTCAAATGTTTCTACACTCATTCTGGTGTAGTCGTAGAATCTGTCGGGATTTTGTCTCTGTTCTTCATAGTTTGGATAAAACTCGCCATTTATTTTCCTTGCCCTATAGTAGGGATCCACTTCTTCTTTTGCCCACAATAAATCGAGCATTAGGAATGATTTCGAATCATAAAGATGTCGCCGTTTTTCAGACATTTTGTTCGCGAATAAAACAAATATCTCGACAACACAACCACGAACACAACACTACACCGCTATAGTGCCGCGCGATCTGCCCGCTAGTTTCGAGAACAGGTATGCGTTGCCCGCCCCCTTGGCGCGCCGCTGCCGCTGCCGCTCCGCTACCCGCGAGATTCGAGGCCGAGGCCTGAGGCCTCGAATTTTGCGGGCAGCGGGGCGGCAGCAGGAGCGGCAGCGGGAGCGGCAGCGGGAGCGGCAGCGGGAGCGGCAGCGGGAGCGGCAGCGGGAGCGGCAGCGGGAGCGGCAGCGGGAGCGGCAGCGGGAGCGGCAGCGGGAGCGGCAGCGGGAGCGGCAGCGGGAGCGGCAGCGGGAGCGGCAGCGGGAGTGGCAGCGGGAGCGGCAGCGGGAGCGGGAGCGGGAGCGGCAGCGGGAGCGGCAGCGGGAGCGGCAGCGGGAGCGGCAGCGGGAGCGCAAGCGGGAGCGGCAGCGGGAGCGGCAGCGGGAGCGGCAGCGGGAGCGCAAGCGGGAGCGGCAGCGGGAGCGGCAGCGGGAGCGGCAGCGGGAGCGGCAGCGGGAGCGGCAGCGGGAGCGGCAAGATCATACGCGTATAATCAAATGGACCGACCCTCGAATACAGCGGTGCAGGAGCAGGGCGGGGGCGGGTAACGAGCGGTGCACGGGTGCACTCCAGTGAAGCGGTGACCGCCCGCGTTGCGCGTCTGCATTGTAGTGTTGTAATTTTTTTTTGTGACGTATCAAAATGTATTCGGACGTGCAAGAGCAAATTATTTCGGCAATCTTTGAGAGGACACCCTTATGGAACAGCAAAGATGTGAACCATAAAAATAGAAGATGAATTAACCAATTATGGGAAGAAATAAAAAACGAACTGAATATTGAAGGTAAATATAATAATGATTTATTATGTCAAATACAATATTTATTATCTTTTACAAATTAATTAGTAACTAATGCGATTATTTACAAAATATTCTTTGAATTTTTCACGTATATAGTTACGTTTTTCAAACATTTCGTTCGCGAATAAAAACAAATATCTCGACAACACAACCACGAACACAACACTACACCGCTATAGTGCCGTTCGATCTGCCCGCTAGTTTGGAGAACAGGTATGCGTTGCCCGCCCCCTTGGCGCGCCGCTGCCGCTGCCGCCCCGCTACCCGCGAGTTTCGAGGCCGAGGCCTGAAAGATTTATCAAATAAAAATAAAAAATATTTTTGAGATTGCTCATAAACCGTCTAATTTTTTACTATTAGAAGGATATCACTTACGGAACATTTTTATTTTTGGTAGAAGCTTTGCTTTAAATCACCTCATGAATACATATTGGTAACAAGGTGACACGAACAATGTCTGTATTTGAAATAAGTTACGTCACTTTATATGTTACTTTGTCTTGGATTATAACTTCAACATTTAACTTTTTGCTAAAATTTGTTTTTGCTTTTCTAGTACATGTACAGAGTACATTTTATATTAATTATTTTATCATTTTGTTTCCAGTTTAATAAAAGTCTTATTTTATAATGATAAGTTATTAACTCAAGAAAGTACGTACAAAAGTAAGGACAAAGTATTTTTTAAAAATTAATTCATGTTGATGAGATTTCATAGAAAACTTTTGTTTAGGTTTTCGGCTACGATAAGATATTGTCTTTGTAAACAAAACACAAAAGCCACAATGAAAAGATTTTTGTTAATTATTAGACCCCGTTTCTGAACTTATAAAAGATTTGTATTGTAGGGAAATGTTGATTGGTAATTTTATCTTATTCTGACATATTTTCTATCAGAGTTTATTCAGTTATCTCATGTATATGCATCAAATATTAATAAGATATAATTATACTTTATCTACCTTATCTTATTTTGCCGTCCCTGGAGTACCACTCTGTAATTATTTTTGAGCATTTATCATTTTTCTCTTTCAGCACATATGCTGGAATGCACAGGACATATCCCCCTCTGACATATGATTATTTCGTTAGTCAGTTTCTCTATTAATGACCATGTTTCACAGCCATATGTTAAACTTAACAAAATGCATTCTGTTATAATATTTCCGTTTATCTTTAATTATCATGTTTTTGTTTTTCATATCCTTACAAAGTAATGTTATATGTGTCTGAGTCTTTGAGAGGACACCAATATGGAACAGCAAAGATGTGAACCATAAAAATAGAAGAATAATTAACCAATTATGGGAAGAAATAAAAAACGAACTGAATATTAAAGATAAATATAATAATGATTTATTATGTCAAATACAATATTTATTATCTTTTACAAATTAATTAGTAACTAATGCGATTATTTACAAAATATTCTTTGAATTTTTCACGTATATAGTTACGTTTTTCAAACATTTCGTTCGCGAATAAAAACAAATATCTCGACAACACAACCACGAACACAACACTACACCGCTATAGTGCCGTTCGATCTGCCCGCTAGTTTGGAGAACAGGTATGCGTTGACCGCGCCGCCGCCGCCGCCGCTCCGCTGCCCATAAAATTCGAGACAGAGGCCTAAGTCGGAGCACGACGACTTAAATTACTTATAACAGGAAAAACTACGGATGTTAAGAACAATATTATACAAAGATATGTTTTATATACAATGAAAAACACAAACACATGTTACAAATGTAAACACATAAACCAAAGATCCATTTAACCAATTTTAATTTATATTTACTATTTGTAAATTATACACAAAATCATTATCCAACATTCTTATAACATTATTGTTAAGCAAACGCTTTCAATTAAAATACAAAAACTTACATTGAAAATTGCCATTTCATCTTCTGTATACAAAAATAAATTAAACACGTTATGTAGTGAGTCTTACGAACTTCACGTTTGTGTAAGAAACATATAATATAAAGATGTACTTATATTAATTAAATTATATTTTTACTTAACGATTCTCACAGGTGTTCCGAATAATAACTAAATCCTATATGTTTATTAAACTTGTTTTGGACTTCAAGTTACTTTAAGTTGCTACTTACTAGTTTTGTCTTACAATATTTTGATAAGTATTTAAAGTGAAAAGTGTCGACTGTAAGAAAATTTTGGCTTTACATTATATATCTCTAAATTTTTGAATTTCTTTGAAGAGTATAGAAAAAAACCATTGAAGGAGCGCTTACAAACCGGTTTGGTATTATGAAATGGATTCAAGTATTCTGAGCAATTCATACTATACGTTCTCATACATATTAATTGGTGCAAACGAATAAAGGTCTGGAATGAAAAGAATATACCTATGGAACATTTCTTTAGGCAGTGTGTTTGAGAGAAATGTGTAAAAGCTAAAATCATGAATAAAATTTTGCAATATTAAAATTATTTATAATATTAATATTTGTAACAAACATTCGAGTAGTATCAAGAGAATCTGTTTAAGGCATACTATCCTTAGCCAGCGCTAGTAAAAACCCAACTGATAACAATTTATTATTTCATACAACAGTAAATATACAAACCACAATAACTTCAACTGATTAATTAATACTACTCGTATTCATAACCTTTATTTTCACTGAGTTACCAGAACATTATCTGGTCAGTGGTCAGCGCAGTGTTTAAATAACCGTTATCGTTGTATTATCTATATTTACTCTGCAAGTCTTTAATTATAAATATATCCATAAAGAGGATTACAATCTATCTCGTGAGCCTTGGATGTATTGTGGGTATTTTTAGTATCAACCGTAAAACTTTATAATACTACAAACCTTAACTATGAAGCTTATCTTTATACTTACTTTTATACTTTATAACCACTTTCACATCTCGTTTTCGATATAGTCAGTGAATTAATATAAAATGAGGTCAAAAGTACTATTAAAATAGACTTCGATCAAGTGAAGTATTTGTTGTGAAGTAATTTTCCTTAACTTTATAAATTTAAAATATAAACAGCGAAAAGAAGAGTGTGTAATAGACAAATAATGGTATCTGGAAACAATATTTTATCTGTTAATTTTAAATAGAACTTGTATTACACTTTTAAATTTTCATTAAGTAGGCTTTTTGACAGAAGTATATATAGCCTATTTATGTATCTTAGGAGCCAGGAATTTACTTAGCAACAAACTAAATTGAATGACTTCAAATATTTGTAAAAATTAAACTCTTCATATAATCATCAAGTAATATTTTATTTATTAATTTATATAATTCCTTTATAAAGAAGTTAAACAACATAATATACTTATCAGGATAATAAACTAGAAGCTAACACGAGAAGCTCCGACCAATATTACTACAAGATAACATCTTCACTCTGTTGTGGCCGAAGGAATGTTTTGTTATTCTTATCCACACCACTGGGAATTAAAACTATTTGATTCAAATTTAAAATACATGGATTCTAAATAAACATTGCATATACAAATAATTCCTAAGTAACAACAATTATTTTTGTAATGAATAAAGTAAATAATATGTATAATATTTAGACAAATAATAGTGCGCCATCTTTGCATTCAACTTGTATAATTAATAAAAACGAAACATGCAATAAATGCATAATCGATTTATTATAACCTTTATAATATATACGTACATATGTTAAGTAAGACCATCAGTTAGATAAATACTATATAAAAGATTGTCACATTCATAAATCAATAAGTTGTGTACAAATAATATCTGAAAGATTCAAATCATTAATCAGTTTGTGAAGACCGTCTATTATGTACGCTCGACTATTTAAAAAAAAATTGTTGAAGGCTTTTATGAACATAAATATAGATAATGAAAGCCGTAGAATAAAGTTAATACCATCCAGTTCATTAATATAAACAGAAGTAAATTGGTGTACCTTTTCCTTATGTATAAAGTACATATTACATAACTTGAAATTCGAATATAACGTTGAGAGAGGTACGACAAAAATACGATACAATTACATATCAGAAATATCTGATAGAAAATACCTTAAATTATAACTTGTTAAATTATAATTAAATAACACTTTTTATATTTTTTATAACGTGTGTGGAATTATCGAAAAATTCTTGAAATGAATATTGTTACTTTTCGATGTCCTATGATTATAATTATTTTAATTGTATTAAAACCACATATTTTTGTGTAAAACAGCATTCAGTTTTCCAATAGTTTAGAAATAGATGAAAAACATTATCTTGAAAGAATGCAATACTTAATACATATATACTGCTTTTGTTTTCTTCGTTTCCTAATCTCATCTGATATTTAATGTCGAATAAAATTTGACAAATATATTGTTTATAAAGCAGGACTTCCAATCTGTTGTTTATATAACTAAAGTGTTTATGTAATAAGCATTCTGAGATTGGAATGATAAATAACTATGTTTATTTTTGATAAAATACTTTAACCCTACCTACTTTTCCGTATTTCATTTCGTATTTTATAATTCGTCTCTAGAAATAGTTTTTTGTATTAATTAGCTAGAAGATATTTTTGTCATCAATCGATTTTACAAAATAACTTAAAATTTGATTAATAAAAAGTGCCTTACTCCTGATACTTATTTGTTTTGATCCATTGTACACACATGATTGTAGGTGAATTTTTTTTTTACTATAACATATCACACTTGTGTTATAATGAAAATATGTCTCTTTGTGAAGAAATTGAGAT